GAGGGAATGAAATTGAAGGAGGTGAGGATTTCGACCCAACACACTCTATCTAAAGTGGTCGACCCAACACACTCTATCTAAAGTGGTCGACCCAACACACTCTATCTAAAGTGGTCGACCCAACACACTCTATCTAAAGTGGTCGACCCAACACACACTATCTAAAGTGGTCGACCCAACACACTCTATCTAAAGTGGTCGACCCAACACACTCTATCTAAAGTGGTCGACCCAACACACTCTATCTAAAGTGGTCGACTCAACACACTCTATTTCCAGCAACACACTGTATCTAAAGTGATCAAGCCAACACACTCTATTTCCAGCAGCAGTGTTAGTAGTAGCAGTAAAAGTAGGAGTAGTAAGAGTAGTATTAGTAGTAGTAGTAGTAGTAGTTGTAGTAATAACAATAATAGAAGTGATAGTAGTAGTAGTTGACATAGATTATACTATCGTAATATTTCATTCACGAAGCTCAGTGTCAGGGGCGACGGTGCCACAGTTAACCATGACCTGCCTTGACCTTCCTCCTGGCACTGGTCATGTCCTGCTGGAATAACCTACACCTCGAGGTTAAATCAGGTCGTGCTTGAAAATATTAGGTTAAGATTACTCTCACCCACACACTTGGCCCTCCAGATTATTCAAGGTGTAGATGTGGCACCACTGTATTGGGGGGTGGTGTTGACGTCACCTGTATGACGTCATCAACGACCAATCAAAATGAAGGAGATGTCTTCTTCCATCCCACCTGGGCCAATGACGAGAGTTGTTGTTTTTTGGTTGTTGTTTTTTCATTAATCTCTTTCAATGGCCGACTTGTACAGTGCATCAGAGACACGTTATCTGTGTCTGAAAATTAAAAATGTCTTAGAGTTTTGGTTAATAAGTCTGTTGCTCGCCAGACTTTTCCTCGCCAGTGTGTTGCTCGCCAGACTTTTCCTCGCCAATGTGTTGCTCTCCTGTCATTAGCAAGTCATTCAATACATTATGATGACGCCACGGTGTCATTATGAGGCAGCTGTAACATACGGTGGTGGTGGTGGTGGTGGTGGTAATTTGTGGCAGTACTGTACTGTAGTGTAATGAATGACTTTGTTGTTGTCCATATAACTGGGGGAGGGGGGCAGAGAGGGGAAGGGAGGGGGGGCAGAGAGGGAAGGAGGGGGCAGAGAGGAAGGGAGGGGAGAGGGAAGGGGAGGGGCAGAGAGGGGAAGGGGAGGGGCAGAGAGGGGAAGGGGAGGGGGGCAGAGAGGGGAAGGGGAGGGGGCAGAGAGGGAAGGAGGGGGGCAGAGAGGGAAGGGAGGGGCAGAGAGGGGAAGGGGAGGGGGCAGAGAGGGGAAGGGGAGGGGAGGGAGGGAGGGGTATACAGGGAAGGGAGGGAGGATAGAGGTGAAAGGGGAAAAGGATAGGGAGATGACGAGGAAGGAAGGGAGGGACGGAGGGAGAAAGGGAAAGTGGGATGGGGAAGGAGGAAGGAAGTGGAGGTCGGCAGGAGAGGAAAGATTTGCACATTATAATACTTAATCTTCGTGTGTGTGTGTGTGTGTGTGTGTGTGTGTGTGTGTGTGTGTGTGTGTGTGTGTGTGTGTGTGTGTGTGTGTGTGTGTGTGTGTGTGTGTGTGTGTGTGTGTAGAGAGAGAGAGAGAGAGAGAGAGAGAGAGGTCAAACCACGTTAACCTCTCCCAATTAATTCCCAAAATAGCCAATATTTCGTCTCCAAATTCGCCAATTAGTCACCCAGGAATTCGCCAAATTCTCGCCGTCAAATTTGGTCAGATGACTGTTAGAGTTGAGCTGAATATATTGTGTTAGTTCAGTTTATTTGTTATGTTATGTCTGTTTGTGTAGTTGTAAATTTGTTTGTTTGTTTAACGATGTATGTTTTTGTTAATGTGTTTGTTTTCAGTTTGTTTGTTTGAATGTGTATGTCTGTTTTTGTCTGTGTTTATTTGTTAGTTTGTGAGTTTATTTAGGTTTGTATGAGTATGTGTGTGTGTATGATTGTGTATGTGTGTGTGTGTATGTGTGTGAGTATGTATATGTGTGTGTGTATAATTGTGTATGTGTGTGCGTATGTGTGTGAGTATGTATATATGTGTGTGTATGATTGTGTATGTATGTGCGTATGTGTGTGAGTATGTGTGTGTGCATATGTGTGTGTATATGTGTGTGTATGTGTATTATATGAAACAAACAATACATAACAAACAACAATAATACAGACAAACACACATACACCCTTTTTATTCTCAACACTAATTGCAATTTCCAATTTAATCCTTGCAATAATTTGGTTTATTTCTGGCTGCTCGTCTGTTACTGGTAGTGTTAATATAATACATTCTGTGTATTAGTGTGTATAGTGTATTAGTGTGTATAGTGTATTAGTACGTATAGTGTATTAGTGTGTATAGTGTATTAGTACGTATAGTGTATTAGTGTGTATAGTGTATTAGTACGTATAGTGTATTAGAGTGTATAGTGTATTAGTACGTATAGTGTATTAGTGTGTATAGTGTATTAGTGTGTATAGTGTATTAGTACGTATAGTGTATTAGTACGTACAGTGTATTAGTGTTTATAGTGTATTAGTACGTACAGTGTATTAGTGTTTATAGTGTATTAGTACGTATAGTGTATTAGTGTGCGTAGTGTATTACAGTGTGTTACAGAGTACTCACATCTACGACTGCCTCTACTACCACTACACACACCTCCCCGCCCCACCACCCCCCTCACTCCTCCCTACGCCACTACCCCCCAGCACCACTACCACCCACTTCCCGTGTCTATTGGTGCACCACTTATCTTCCAGACTAATAACTCTTTGTCTCACTCTTTGTCTCACTTTTTGTCTCACTCTTGTCTCACCAATACTCAGTTCAATGATGTTTCCGTCAGACTCACATCTCAGGCAGTTGGAAGCCCCGGCCACCACGGATAATGAGAGCCCAAGAAACGTGGGTATAAAGAGAGGGGGGGGGGGAGCAGTTTGTCGGTGTGTTATTGAGTGAAGACTTTGATCGCTGTCTTAATACTTGAGCACTTTATCACCCTCGTGTGTGTGTGTGTGTGTGTGTGTGTGTTTTAGTATCAAGTGGTATGTTTATATATTCTCTCTCTCTCTCTCTCTCTCTCTCTCTCTCTCTCACTTTTAATAACTGGGCAAAACTTAAGAGTTAATGTGCAGTTGTCTTTGTAGTTTAAGAGAGAGCCTTCAATTCCTCCCTCCCTCCCTCCTCCTCCTCTCCTCCTCCCTCCTCTCTCTCCTCCTCCTCCTCCCTCCCTCCTCCGTC